TTTTCTCTATTTCGAATGGTGACATAATTATATAACTTATATTAAAATACGGTGCTTTTAACAATGAAATCCACCGAATTTTTTTTATATCAAAAAATTTTTCAAAAGAAGAAATTTCTTTAATTACGAAATTACTAAATAGCAAGAAATAATTAATTTTAACCGTGTTTCCAAAATCTGTAATTCAACCGCCGATTAAAATAAAACGGATTGACATAACGGATTAAAATTTACACCGCCGTAAAGGTAGGATTTTGGTCTAAAGATCGTGCCTTACGAATATAGAAAAAAATTATTATAGGTGCATTAAAAAGGTGTTTAGTTAACGACCATCTGGAGGTGGTTCAGCCTACTAGAGGGTTAAGCTATACATTCTTTTAATGTAGTAGCCAAAGTTCGAAAGGGACATATTGTATTTCAAAAAAAGTAATTTTACTGCCTTTCCTCCCATGAGATGATTTCTCGTATACAAGGCGGCCTGCACTGAACAATTTCTCACTTGGAACGCTGGTGNTGAGATGATTTCTCGTATACAAGGCGGCCTGCACTGAACAATTTCTCACTGGTAGGTGAAGAGCTCAATTATTTGCGGGACAGATCTGTCAATTTGTCGTATTTTAGTTTAGTTTCCACCATTCGAGAGAATTTTCACAGAGATGAGCTCGTTTTTCTTTAAGATTCAATTGAGCTTTAATTTCGCCTCCGCTGAAGGAATCTAAATTTATTTCTAGGTTGCTTATAAGACTTAGCAGTACTTGTTGAAGGCCCATCAATGTTGCTTGATATACCACTTAACCGTTTAGCGCCTGAAGCTAAGAGCCGGTTATTGTCGGCACCTTGGTTAGACAGACTGAGAGCCATTTCAACAATATTAGAGTGGACTCTCTGCTCATGTACACATTTGCATTCGCAAAACATTCGTATCATTTGATGCGAATGCGAATCTCGAATGCGAATGTGTAAAATGATGCGAATCATTCGCACAACGAAAGCGAATACAAATATTCGCAACATCCCTGCTGTCTAGCATGCTGCATATATAGCATAAATAGCATTATTGGATAATTTTGTTGTTGTTCCATGTGTTAAAACAACAACAAAATTAGCCAATCATGCTATTTATGCTATCTATGCACCATGCTAGATGTTATGCACCGCGTCGTGAATACCCCTATTGACATAAGAAGTGCATGGTTGAATGAGTTCGTCGTGAAAGGCGTGTTGTTGCATATAACTAAGTGACAACTTCGTTCTAGTTATATTCGAGTATAAATCAAACGTAGAGGGTGCCAATGTACTATAAACTTATGTAAACAAGCTTCTAAGCACATAATAATTTAGACAGAAAATACAAGAATATATGTATGAATTTGTGCTTAAATAATATTGTGTAAATAAAAGCAACCAGTATCCGATTTACCAATCGGAAATGCATGTCGCCGTTCATGGTTTTACTTCCCCTTATCAGATGGCTTAGCTTTGGCAGAACCTACTGAACTTGAAAAAATTACGTATTTATGTAATTAAATAAATTATGGAATATTAACCAATATAAACCAGAATATGAGTCTCACTGTGGTCAAGAAAGATGTTTGTTGACTCTCAATATGATAACCCGATAGCCAGGCAGGTGAACACCTATTATTAATCTATCTCACACTGTCATGGCAAGCCGAGGTTATTACCCATATTTTGATGCCTTAACTGATTTTCTCCGATGAATAGTTTATTAACTGCAAACAACTGAAAAGAGATACTTCTCTGTGACTTCAAAATTTTGGGATTTTTTTTCAAGATTTTCGAGTACCATGACGAAATAAAAAATAGGTATCTTCCTTTTTTCGATAATGAATGTAAAAAATATATTTCACCCCAAAAAAATATTGAGGTGTAAATATTGTATGGAATGACCCGTATACAAGGCGCGAAGGTCGATTCAATTTCATAAAAGATGAGAAAAAATACCTGGCAGGTTAAATGAGCAGTGGCGTGAGAATAATATTTGCAGAAGGTATTAGAAAGCGTTACCTGTATTGAGAAAAAAAAGAAAGTACCTACTAGTACGTTTGTTTGTTTGAAAATATGTTTGCACATAAATAAGCAATCGAACTTTAAGAGGTAACAGATGCTGTTGCGTTAAGAATATTTTGAAAATAGAAAGCAGCTGGCCAAAAGAAAAACGTGGGAATTGGGGAAATACTAAAATGGTTTCCCATGCAGAAATACTTAGTACATATGTATATACATATTTATAAATATACTCATAGAAGCTGGTAGGAAGGAGTGTTCTCGTATCGTCCAGTCAAAATTATCCAGCAGCAAAAATTCTGAGGAATTCGCGGTACTCGCTCTTAAAGAGAAAAAATATTCACAGAAGTATGAGCACGCCAGATTTGTAAAGACTTGCAAGCATAATAACAGCTGATTACTTCATTATTGTCCTTTTTTCCAAAACCACTTTTCGATTTATTCGAAAAATATCAATTTGAAAAAACTGGTGCCCTATTTTGAAATCAAGAAAAAACCGGATTAATCGGTTTTCTTTTACACAGTTTTCATACAGTGAAAATGCTTATGTTGGTAAGAATTCATGACAAAATTACAATAAAAGAGCAAAGTAAAGTAAGTTCAAAGTTTNTTTTTTCCAAAACCACTTTTCGATTTATTCGAAAAATATCAATTTGAAAAAACTGGTGCCCTATTTTGAAATCAAGAAAAAACCGGATTAATCGGTTTTCTTTTACACAGTTTTCATACAGTGAAAATGCTTATGTTGGTATGAATTCATGACAAAATTACAATAAGAGAGCAAAGTAAAGTAAGTTCAGAGTTNAAAACTGGTGCCCTATTTTGAAATCAAGAAAAAACCGGATTAATCGGTTTTCTTTTACACAGTTTTCATACAGTGAAAATGCTTATGTTGGTAAGAATTCATGACAAAATTACAATAAAAGAGCAAAGTAAAGTAAGTTCAAAGTTTTTTTAGATCGCAAGCAAAATAAATAAAAATCAGTGAAACATTCACGTTTGGCTATAAAATTTGCAATAAATAATTGCAAAAGCTCTTATTTTATTTTGTTTATTCACAATAATATGTTTGAGATCAGCTGATTTTCTTACTTGCAAGTTTTCACAAGTAAAATTGTTTTCCAGCAGAAACTTACAGCTTCCCCTCAAAACGAAATGTCACTTAACTTTAACGAGAATGCAAAAATTTGAGCGTTTGCAACAATTCTTGATGAATTTTCAATACAAGAACGCTCCTTTTAATAAGGTAAAAATGGTAAGTTTCCGTCATACATATGCCACTAAGCAAATCCTCTTTAAAAGAAGCACAACTTAAAAATCAGACTTGGAAATATAATTGCTTGTGTGAGTAGTGCCTCTTTTGAAAATGATGCAAAAATTAAACCTGCTATGAAAAGTAAAGATGATTTTTCAAATTTTATGCTCCTTTCCAACGNCAGAAACTTACAGCTTCCCCTCAAAACGAAATGTCACTTAACTTTAACGAAAATGCAAAAATTTGAGCGCTTGCAACTATTCTTGATGAGTTTTCAATACAAGAAAGCTCCTTTTAATAAGATAAAAATGGTAAGTTTCCGTCATACATATGCCACTAAGCAAATCCTCTTTAAAAGAAGCACAACTTAAAAATCAGATCCGGAAATATAATTGCTTGTGTGAGTAGTGCCTCTTTTGAAATGATGCAAAATTTAACCGGCTATGAAAAGTAAAGATGATTTTTCAAATGTTATGCTCCTTTCCAAAGTCTTATTTTCGTAAAAAAAAGTTTCGCCAGATATTTCCCAAACATACATATGTAAAATCAATCTCAAACAAACATTTCAGCAGTGCAAAGAAAATATTTTTAAGCTGAGTCCTCAGTTTTAACGCTAACAATTTTACCTCTTTTGTTCTCAACAAAATATGAAAGCATTTGTTACGCACGCGTCTGTTGTTACATATGTACATGAATTGCTAGTTAATGATGCTGAGACGTCGATAACTTTGACAGGTAGAAGGAGATATTTCAAAGTCAATTAAAAAATAATTGCCCACAAACATTCATTACTAAGTTTGCCAACATCAAATTAAGGCGACTGACGTCTGCAAGTAATTAAGTTTCTTACTCCTTGATGGTTTGCTAATATTTGTTAATTACAAAGTAGGAACCGGCTTAATGAACAGCTGTCTTCAGCCTGACAGGTAAGCATGTGTACGTATGTATGTAGTTGCGCTTATGTATAGTATACATATGTATGTATGTAGGTATGTATGTTTGCACATTCTGTAAAGGAAAAGGTTACAGTCAAAGTTTAGATAAAACGGAATTTGAATATGTAAATTGTTCTACGAGGAAGCTACAGAGAACTTTTAGTTCAAAATTAGTGACTATCCAAATACAAATGAGTTGAAGAGGACTAGTTTTACACTAGTTGGAAAGAGAGCATAATGTCCTTTTGAATACAAATCAAATTTTTATTTTTTTTATATCCATATCAAATCAGTTTAATAGAAAATCACTCTAATGTACTAAAAAGTTGAAGGTATCATACCAAACTGAAAAAGCAGAAAATAAGAACAATTTTGTGTCTGCCAAGCTGCAGTGGATTTGTTGAAACCAATGGGCAATCTTCAGAAATTTAAACTTATTTTTCTAAAATTGTTTCGATGATGATCAGACCAGCAATATAGTTTTTTTATTCAGGCAGATAATGGCATACCTTCGCGAGTAATTTTAAGATCCTTCGGACACCTAGAACTGAATGCCTCTCTAATTGTGTTTCATCAGAATAATGCCTGCCACAAAATGAAGAAGAAGCTCGATCCAGCACTTAGCAAAATGTGTGAAGCCAGTCAAGTAATAATCTGAATTGGTGGAGGGGAGTGGATTTTGTATTCGGTTTAAGCGATCCCAATAACTTAATAAAAGCTTGGTTTCATGTTCGGGCCGAAAGAAATTAGTTCTTAGTATTTCTTCACAGCCTAGTTTCTACGATCCTGAAGCGGTTCTTATTTATGACTGTAATTCATGTTTGGTGGAAATGTGCTATTAGATCAGAAATTTGGAATCACAATTGAACCCAATACAATAACGATATTAAAATGAGCCCAAAGTCGTTTTTAAAATATCTTTAGAAAGTATTTGTTTGAATTTTATGGGAAAAGAATGTGCAAGAAGTATTATACAATATTTTTAAGCTTTGATTAAGAGATGTAACTATAATGTAAGCTTTAAAATGCAAGGCGAAAACCCCTAATAAAATAGAACAAAAGCAAGAAGATATCTTTCCAATGAAATCAAGAAAGAATTTCTCTCTAGTTTTATATTAAGTAGGTTACCTGATTAAAAGAAAAAAAAAAGAAATTTTGATCTATGATTTTTAAAAGATATGTATGTATGGAATTTCTTGTTTTTGTCTTTTTACCCCTTAGCCTAGAAACTTTTTTCTGCGTAACCAATTCTGATTTTACAATACATCCCCAAACAAACTTATTGTTATACCATTTGGTTAGTTTTGAAATTTCCAACAAACATTACGACTAAATTCAGAGTCATTTATACGCTAAACCTGGTCGAAAAATTTACCTTCCCTCTACTTATTCAAGGTAGCAATGAAAGAATATTTACTCCATTTATCCTTTAAAAAAAACATTACTTGTTTAGGCCCAAAAAATGCTTGGAAAGGATTTGCACTGAAGCACCGTGCGATTTGAATGCTTTAAGTTTTTAGCAACAAGAATAATGGGAAAAAATACCTTTTAATGAGTTTTCGAAAATTGCCTTAAAATGGCGTTATTTTGAAAATATCGTTGTTGTAGTTGAAAAAAATACCTCAACCTGATCTTTCAAGTGCCCATTTTTTATTGTCAAAGGCAGTTTTCATAATTTTTAGTCGCCGCTTATTGAGAAAAAGTGAATACCATTTCTATGGCACCTTGAATACGAAAATTAGCCAAAAAGTATGTAGGTGAACTAATCAAGTTTCCATGAAGTGTCCGGAAATTACTCAGAAATCGTAATAAGTAATTAAAAAAGGTTTGGTGCATATATCTTAGCTTAATACCGAATATCCGAAAATTTGGTTAATATCTGTTCATTTTTGTTATCCGGGTATCCGGTTGTTCTCAAAATAACTGAATCTATTGAGTTGAAAGCAAATAATAGAACATATATATCATTATTGCACAAACAATGGTTATTTTATTGTTATCTTTATAATCGAAAATCCGTAAATTCAGTTAATACTATGATATCCGGATATCCAATTTTTTGTCCACATTTCTTAAAATGCTCTTATTTTTAACCGACTTCAAAAAAGGAGGTGGTTATCAATTCGTCGGAATATTTTTATGTATGTTACCGCATAATTTGGGTTCAAGTCAACTAATTTCTATAATTCTTTTTCTTTAACAAAAGGTGGTACCTCAGATCCAAAGATGTTAACGGTACCCTTAAATTTGTATATGCGAATTAAAGTCATACAACTCGTAAAGTCGGGTTTGTTTTTTGTTTGAAAATTACTTGTTTTTCTTCAAGAAATCGTTTATTCTTCAGGAAAATTTACAGCAAAAGCAACCAACGGAAATATGAAAATATTTTTTGAGAGCTACAAGCTTAAGACTGGTTTTCACCTTATCAAATGCAATGGCATTTGTAATCAAAATAAGTGAAAACATGTTGCGAAATGATACTAAAGAAAACGAACTATGGATTAACTTAGAGCAGAATTGGTCTTCAGTCGAGTACATGCGGGGCTAAATTAACTATCCGTCCGTTTTTGGCCTATAATATAATCGGTAAAGAAAGGGATAAAGGAGATAAAGTTGTGTCAAAATATGTCGAAAAATTTTGGCGTCATACTATGAAATAGTGAATAGCATTAACTATTTTTGCTGCTTGAAAAAGTACTTTGATTTTGCTATACATTTTCTTGAAGAAAGATATGTGAGTATTTTATTCTTGAGAAGCGGAAACTGATTTAAGAAGATTTTATAGCAGAAACTTTCTTTTCCATATTCTTGAACGTCATTTTATATGAATTTTCCATCCATTATTTAGAGCTGTATAAAGCTTTAATCAGAAATGTAATCGAATTGAAGCAAAATATTTTAGTATAAGAGAAGATATATAAGACCAAATTTTATAATTAGAAAAGAATACTTTTTTACTTTATACTTTATACTTTGAATATACTTCCCTAATGCACACACACATACCTACCCACATTTTGATAGAAAAGATTTTAAAAACGATCACTTTTTTATCAAAGTAACTTGAAAACACTCAAAAAACTACTAGTATCTATTTCAAATAAATATACAAATTTAGCAATTTAAAATTTGGATGCTTTATATATAAACTTTTTTCAATTAAACTATAGTTAATCATTGAAAATTAATTAAAAGTCGATTATTTATATTTACCTTTGGAAATTCTAAACTCTTATCCCAATTACGTGCTCATATTCATCAAACTTTCGTGAAATATTTGCTGTTTTCCAGGAAATTATTTCTTAAAATACACTTATTTGGTTTTAATTTTACTGCTAAATGAGCATACAAAATATGTACTATATATAAATACACTGGCATTTATCATTAATATTATCGTAAAAGTAGGTATGTATTTCTGTACACTTGTGAGTAATTTGCTCTTAAACAATTCTTTCTTATCGTTCACCACTCAACACTTGCACAATTTAACGCAAATTTCGACATTAATTCTTCACTTTAAACCACATTTGCTAGCTATAGTAATTTCCATTTGTGGCCTTCGATCCGCTGATAAGGGCAAAAGTAACCAACTTTGGCCTCAGGCGTCTGTCTCGTTGGCACCGCAGTGCAGCCGTCACAACAAATTAACCGAAAACAGAGCCGACGAAGGGCCGGGTGTGCGCAATGCGACTCTGGCGAATATGATAATTAACTTCTTTGTTTTTTTTTTTTTTTTTTGTTGCTCACTTGATATTGATGAATTGTAATAAATTTATTCGCATACTTGTTGTAAGTAGTTTCCGCTTCCTTTTTTGAGTTTTTATATAATTTACAATGTTGTGGATTAAATTCAACAACTGCAACGTAAAATGAAGCACAACGAGACACAAACACAAACCGACACTGCGGCACTGTTTCCCAGCTGACTGGCTAAATGTACGCCGAGGGGGTCTGACCGGACGCTGGAGATACAACGTGTAATACGAATGTTTGAGTACTTACTCGAGTTACCGGCAAAAATATGCAACAACTAACAAATAGTTTTCGGCGCAGAGAAGATAGGTGGGGGTAGTTGGTTCGTTGGTGCAGGCGGTGACAACACTGTTGGCAGCAGCTGCAACCCCGACAACTTCCACGACTTTGCGACAGGTGACAGCTGTCAATATTTGACTGTGCAACACACTTGGGATTATTGCTGGCACATTTGGTGTTAATTTTCTTCAAAGCTTTACTTCAGTATTTTTTTTTTTTTTTAGTGTTTAAATTAAATGCACTGTTAGTTATAGTTTTAAAGAGTGAATATATAAACACATGCGCGCATAGATAAGCATCATTTGAAATTATAAATTCAAAAATTATATCTGAGTGATAGAAAATTGAACAAATTATAAAACCGAACGACGAGAAGCGAAGTTATTTCACACAACATCCAAACTAAATGAACAGACGACGAATACTGAACTCGCTGCGGCTGGCCAAATGCTACGCTAGTGCGTCTCTAATGTGACTCCAGTAAAACTGGCAAACAAACAACGGTTCATCGTGAGCGGATGGCTGGCTGGCGGAGAGCGTTTCCGGTGCGCTGTTTGAAAGTGGTGAGCAAAATGAAATAGAAGAGTGCAACCATGCTTGGAAAAATGTGAATGAAATGGTAGCGAAACATTGAGCGCCTGCAACGAGTGAACATAATTTGTGGGGGAAGTTGCACAATTGGCTGGGCTAGTATAAGAGTTTCCAAGTGTTGTGAAAGAGTATGTGAAGAAGATACATAAAATGCAATTAATAGCTAGGCGCTGGTAACCTATCAGCTGGGTGGTTTTGATATGCATGAGAGGCATACAAAATAAAATAGCACAATGAAAGTGGGTAAATAAAACAAAAACAAAAAACACAAAACGCGAAATTTGCCTTGAAAACTAATGTTTAGCGAATACCTAGGGAGGCACGACTTTGCACTTAGGTGCATATTTAAGACAATTTATTACACAAATTAATTTTATTTAATGAATTTATTACAAAAATTGTTTAAATCGGTCGATAACCTTGACTGTCTCCGACCCAATCGTATAATTCTTTACTTGTTTATTAGATGCTTAACAAAACAAATTTTCTTTTGTAACTACTTCAATAAAAATACGGCTAAAGTCGGCCGTTATCGGAATTTATTCGATGCATCGAATTGGAAACATCGATGTTTCCGATGCATCGGTTAACATCGCGCATCTCTAGTTGATATTTAGATCTTTAATCGTGCAAATCCTCCAAGCTGGCGTTGGAAAGCGTAGCACAAACTGACTATCTGAATAGCAGTGTCACTATGGCTGATTTCCTAAACGTTTCTTGCTTTCGAATCAACAAAGTTGTGAATTCCTAAAAAGCAACCCTGATGTTTGTGATATTGCCTTATATATACATACATATGTACTTAAATGTTGCGTAACAGATATCCACATGCATAAAAAAAGTAATCAGGACATCCCTTACATTATTGATGAAAAAAATGGAAACAGCTTATTCTGATGTGAAAGCTGTTCTGGGTTGTTAAATTTTATCTAATATTTATCTACTTGCGCATTGTTATTTTCTGAGAGAAAGGGTGTTCGCACGAACGAAAGGTCCTCAATCGAGTGTCTGTCTTGTAGCTATATAAACATGTATTCGGTGAAGAAACCACCCCCTCCCAGGAATGAGTTGTGCGCTGGGTTTGTGACCTGCCACGTAAAAACCACTTCCAGTGAATAAGAGCGACGAAGCCTCGGATGAGACCCCTCTTTTAATGACGACCACGGTA